TTATATCTAAAGAATGCTACTGATGTTAAACAGACAGCTACCGTCACCAGCTCTCATTAATACGCAGACAGTAATGGTGTGTGTGTTTGTGTGTGTGTGTACTTCAGTTCAGTTCGATGTGTGTGTACTTCAGTTCAGTTCGATGTGTGTATGTGTGTGTGTACTTCAGTTCAGTTCAGTTCGATGTGTGTATGTGTGTGTGTACTTCAGTTCAGTTCGATGTGTGTGTGTGTGTGTACTTCAGTTCAGTTCATGTGTGTGTGTGTGTGTACTTCAGTTCAGTTCGATGTGTGTATGTGTGTGTGTTTGTGTATGTGTGTACTTCAGTTCAGTTCAGTTCGGTGTGTGTGTGTGTGTGTGTGTGTGTACTTCAGTTCAGTTCGATGTGTGTGTGTGTGTGTGTACTTCAGTTCAGTTCGATGTGTGTGTGTGTACTTCAGTTCAGTTCAGTTCGGTGTGTGTGTGTGTGTGTGTGTATATAGCCCCAAGTCTCGAAGTTGCAGATTCACCAACAATAGATCAGAGAATCCAACACAGGAGATGCATTAATACACACACACACACACACACACACACACACACACACACACATACACACACACACAGTATATGAGCCGTGTCCAGGTCCATGTGACGGGATGATCACTGTCTATGCACGTAAATAAATGTACATGTATATCCTGTGGTAAAATAGCCTTTGCCATCGTACACTCCGGGCAATAATCATTTCCCTGCATGTAACGTAACGTATACTATGGTGTGGTACGACCAGGCTAGTAGTAAAAGCTATACTATTTAAAAAGACGACGTGAAATAGATTTGAACCATTTTGTGTATTTCCAGTGAGATTACCAATATATAGCTTCAAACATGTCTAAATAATGTCTGGATAATCAGGAAGTGTAACGAGTAAAGGTTAGAATCGGTCTGGATCCAGTCTTTTGTTATTTACCAATGATTATGACACGTTTAGCGCCTTTTCTTTTAACCTCTCCTTTATTGAGGTCTTATTGTTTTATCCATTCATGGGAAAAGAGGAAACCTGTGAGCACAAAACAAGATTCTATAGTCATTTGTAAGTATGTGTTTTTATTTAACCAGGAAAGTCCCACTGAGATTAAGAACCTCTTTTCCAAGGGAGTCCTGAACAGTGTAATCTGTGTGTTATAAGGATTAGTAAACATGATGTATTTTATATGTTAAGGTCTGAAAAGGAGCTGTTAGCTATGGCCAAAGGACATAGGATATTTTAGGAATACAGAAGCTCTCACATAAATCCATGAGAGGTCATCAAATAAACAAACAATATATACCGTATTTTTTGGATTTTATATTTCAAATTTTATATTTTATTTACCGTAAAATGTCAATAATAGCCCGGTTAAGTTGAGCTGATTCTGTGGTAAACTTGGTTAGTTATTTGACTCTTACTGTTC